AAACAAAGTTTTAAAAATCATAAAAATCATTTTAAAAAAACCTTCCAAATTTTTTTAATCTTGTTAATTTTTCCCCAAAAATATAATCAAAAAATAACTCACTTTTTTTTTGTCAGTGCTGTGAGGACAGTAAAAGCAGGCAGGCAAGCAGGATGACAGGATGGCTCCTTCAATTGGATGGCATTGCCGGTGGCGCATCCTTGCGCTGCTTCCTTGATTCCTTGGCCATGCAAATGAGTTGGATTTATGCATCCCCATTGGTAGGAAGGCAGGCAGGCAGGCAGGTAGATGGTAGTACGCGCCTCTGCCATCTGGCACGCCCCCCTTTTAGCCAGGAGCCCCGAAGGTAGATGGTCCGAACCGAGACAGCAGCTCCTTGGCACTCCTTTGGGGCATATTCGATGCACATCGATTGATTTCGCATCAACGCAAAATGCGAAACGGATTATTAAACTTGCCACTGGCCAGGCCAGGTGTGTGTTCAGCATTTCCCAGAGCAGCTTCTGGAAAACCAAAAAAAAAAATGAAAAATATAAAAAAAAAAAAAAAGGAAAAGCGATTCAGAGGATGGGGAGGGGAAAAACTGGAAGACAATTTTGCAGCTGCTGCAATTTTCGATAAATTCTTTGCTCAAAAGATGCACTGAACAGAAACGGGGATAAAACGACGTCGCTGAAGGTGTGTGGCAGTTGGGGGGAGAGGGGGAGTGTAGGAAAATGGCAATGGTATGGAATGGGTATGATGCAACAGCGGCAGAAGCAGCGCCCCCATCCACCACCACCACCAGCAGCAGCAGCAGCAGATATTTCATTCATTTCCATAATTTTAATAAAATTGAAGAAAAATATTCAAGGCAGTGCCACAGAAGCTGTGACACGAAAGGGGACAGCGACAGCGGACGATTCCGGGGCGAAATGAAAAGCGGAAAATGTGAAAACGCAAAATATGCGGCTATGTAATGGCGGGCAGGACAACTCAGGAGCACAGTGAAGCCAAAACTAATTAAAATATTTTTAGTTTAGTTTAAAATTATCTATAAGATATTTGTAATAACTATTTTCATATTTTTAGAATGGCACAAAAAAATATTCTTATTCAAAAAGGTATCTTTCACTATCTCTCTCTAAAAGTTTCTTTTTAGTATCTTTTAGTGTTATTTTACTTACTAATACTATTTTTAACCTCTAGTAATATTTAGTATTAGCTCTAAAAAAATTGTTCCTAAAGTATATAAACCATAATACCATTTAATAATAATTGAATAAAATGATATACAAAATTCTAACTATATAATTCCCCTAAAAAATTGTTTAAAAAATAAAACTAGCTTCACTATGCAATTTCAAGGCTTTCATTTCGATTCGGTTTCGGTTTATCTCAACTCTTTATTTTTTTGTTGATAAAATAATATTTTTTCTTTATTTTTTACCTGTCCCCGTTTAGTTGTTTTCTTCTACTATTTTTTTTTTTTTTTGTGATGCTGTACATGTGCTGCTATTTGCTGCCGGTTTAACCCACTGCCCCCTTGACCCGTAACCCGTAACCCTTAACCCTTAACTCTCTATGCCACATTCGTATTCGTACGTATTTATATTGGCCCGCGTGTGTGTTTTTTTTTTGGGAAAAAAGAATGGGTAGAAGGAGTGATGTGGAGAATGTCAAGCAAATGACATAATTCAGTTGCTGGCAAAGTTTTTGACTGATGCCATGCCATGGCATGTGCACCATTCCCCCCATCTCCCCCTTATGGCTAACCTGAGGAGGAGCCTGTGGCAATCGCCTTTTGGCTTCTTGGCCAAAGTTCAACGTTGAATTCAGATGCTCGCTGATTGCCGACCATCTTGCAGAGGCAACCGCACCAACCACCTACCACCTACCACCTACTACCTTTATCTGGTATATTCTTCAATTTTCTATGCACTTAAATAAAAAATTCTATTCTAAATTTTATGGTTTAATATTTTAAATATTTAGTTTCTTAAGTAGGTAAACCTTATGAGAAGCGAGTAGAACGGCGCTGTTATTTTAAATAATTTTTATTATTTATTTGATTTATGTTCATAACATAAACTCCTCCTAACCTAGACCTTAAGACCCCTAATTATTTCCCTGTGCAAGATCAAGGGAACAAGTAGAAGGAACAGTAGTAGTATCAGTAGGTCGAGCATTCAAAAGATATGTCACCAGGTGGAAGTTGGCATTTAATCCAACCAAAAGTCCTAACATCAACAGCCAAAAATTTGTAGCAACCAAAAAAAAAAAAAAAGACAAAGAAATAAAAAGAAAAAATTGTTATAAAGTCAAGGTGTAGGTGTTTTTGGGTATAAATTTTATACCAAACATGTGCCGCGCTTCTCAAAACAATGAAAATGACTTTCACTTGAAGTTACGACCAAAAATTAGACGGAATCCAAAAGGCAAATGAAAATGTTTAAAACTTTTTTTGGTTTTTTTTTTTTTGTTAGAGACACAAGCTATTTGCCCCTTTTTGGGGGAAAAGCCACTTGAAAAGCATCTCTGGCTCATAACTCATGATGTTGGACCTTGGGCCCCAACTTCCTTGTTTTTAAGGACCCTTTTAATTAAGCCCACCCACACTCGGTCTTCGGGTGAAATTAATTTAGCCAAATCATGGGGAATCAACAGGAGCCTGTCCAAAGTGAAAAAAAAGGAGAAAAAAAAAATAAAAATAAATATATATGTAAAAGGGACATGTGCGTGACGAAAGGAACCAGAACAAAATAATAGAATGGCCAGGAAAATGTTTCTATTCCTCCTTAAAAATAAAGTAAGGAAAGCTGGCATGGGATAGAGGAGAGACGAAGCTTAAATACCCTTGATTGGGATATAGAACTTATAGGTTTTAGTTACCAGATTCGAATATCTGCACTAGAGAACCAAATAAATAAAATTTAATATCAATATTTTCAGTTCTTTTAGGTAGATATTTCATATATTAAATTGCAATTGCAATATTTTATCTTTCGGTTCTTAACTAGACCTTATGAGAAGCGAGTAGAAGAGCTATTTTTATTTTATTTAATAAAATAGGAGGGTATCCTCCCCTCACATAAAAGCCCAATACCCCTTCCTGATAGAGTATAAACAAAAAAAAAATAGACAACGCACATGCAAACAAGGGTTAAACAGCCTCCCCTTCATGTGTGTTTGTGTTTCGAGGGCGTAGGCCGCCTCCCTTTTTTTTTATATTTATGGCTACTACGTGTTGTAGTGGGCGTGTTATGGGCTGATATACCACCTCTTCAAATAAAAAAATAAAAAAAAAAATTCCAGAAAATGAGGGAAAAAACGGGAGTAAAGTAAAGCCTTTTGCTACCACACACACACCTTCTATTTCGTTTTTAGGGCCAAAGCGACAACATAAAACAGTCGTAAAATTTATTAAGTGACATTTTTGTGTTTTGTGTAAAATATACAGAAAAAACACGGATGTATGTTTATGTAATAATAATAATAAAACCAAACCAAGTAAACATGAGAAGAACATTTGCTGGACAAACGTTAATTACAGGCGGAAAAGTACAGAAAACCAAAGCTTAGCACAAGCCATCAATTAAATATTAATTAATTGGCCGACTTTTCCTCCTCCCCCCCACTCTCTTTCTCTCTAATTAGATGGCCATCTCTTTCGTTGACTTGATTTTGGCCTGCTTGCTAATTTTACATTTTCTAATTGCTCATCAGTTGCTTAATTGTTGCCAAGACTTTAACCAAAAAAAAAAAAGAAAAGAAAAATACGACGGCGAAAAACTCCTCTCTGTGAGAATTTGCTTTTCCGCGAGGGCTTCGCTCATTTAGCTGGTTAATTGCATTTCATTTAATTTCTGTAATTTCTTTTGCCCTATTGACGATATTTTGTTACCATTTCTACACAGTTACGACCTTGCTCGTTTTGCCGCCAAAGACCCAACCCCCCCAAGCCAAGTCTGTTCTTCATTAGCGAACTTGAAGTTTGTGGGTGGGGGGTGGTGCAGGCAACAAATCTGTCAAGTGGCCACCTTTCTATTTTTCTGCTCGTAAATAGCATTCAGGGTTGCCAGCTTTCAATAGAAATGAAATTATTGAGGCGAAAAAAATAAGAGAAACTTTTAAAGGAATATTTTTTTTTACTTTGAAAGCTTATTTAAAGAGTAAATTTTAATTTAATAATTTTAGTTTGAAGTTTTAAGTAGAACATCTTTAAAAATCTTAAGCCAAAAAAAAAATCTACAAAGCCAAGTTACCGCCTTGCCACCTTTTATATTTTTTTTCTTTCAGTAGAGTTAAAATAGTGTGGCTAAAAAAAAGGACATTTTTTAAAAGAATATTTTATTCTTTTTTATTTTAAAAGCTCTCTACCCTTCTAGCTATTTTTTTTTACGATTGATTTATTTTATTTATATTTTATTAATAATTTGGTTTTAAAAAAATCTTTAAAGCCAAGTGTCCAGCCTTACCATCTCTCTATTTTTTTGCTCTCAAATTAAGTGGAGTAGGAAACCCTAGAGACAGCTTTTAATAGAAGTCTGCTTAATAATAATAAATAAAATAATAAGCATTTTATATTCCCTATATTGCCCTTAATTTTCAACGAAAATTTCAATAAAAATTAAATAAAAAATCTATCCTCTGAAAAAAAAAAATACTTAGTTGCCAACCCTAAAAACTTCCCCAAAAAAAGGGGTCCATTTTAGTGCCTCGTTAATTCTACAATTGCCACGTTTTACAATGAAACTGTTTAGCTTTTTAGAGCATCACCCAGCCCCAACCTTCTGAAAAAAGAATACAAATTTTTGATTAAATTTTAAGAATTATAAAGGGGGACAAGAGGCAACCCCAACTATAAAATATATATTTCGGTGAGCTGCATATGTAGTTATAATCCCAAATATTAGTTTCTTGAACTAGAAATTTAGAAGCCAAGTCAGTGGGGCCTGTGAATCCGCCGGAAGATTAAACTTGAATTTTGAATTGCAAAGATACCGAAGATGTGCATCTTTTTAGGGAAACAGCTGAGCAACTACAGATTCGTACTTCAAGGCGACGGCATTAAAGTCTTCAGGACGTGACTGCTTGATAGCCGTAATGAGGTTCTTGGCCTTTTGTAGTTTGTCTTCGTTATCCAACTGGTTCTTCATCAAGAGTTTGAAGAACATCTCTAGTATCTTGGTGGTGTACGGATGGAAGACCTCGTTCTGGTTATCGACAAGAATAAGGAGAGCCGAGGCTAGCAACACAACATCATGTCCCTGCAGATCCGCACCAACAATAAATGTAGGGTGGTTGAAAATTAAATCCAGAAAATCGCCAACTGGGCACTTGTTGTGATCGAAAATGATCATTTTGCACATGACTTTCAATCCCGATTGCATTTCCATGTCAGTTAGACCTTTGCAATCGCGAACAACGTCAACCAAGGATGTGGCCATCGCCAGGATAACATCCGGTTTGCGGTCCAAATAGTCAACAATAGCGTCCAAGGACTTGAAACAACTTCGACGCACATGATCGAAACGATAACGTAGATTCTTCGAGATACACCTACAGATGGGCTTGTAGAAGGGATCGGCTGTATCCTCCATGACATCCAGACATGTGATGACGACGCCACAGAAGTAGACCTCCATTGCGGAACAACCGTACTGGGATAGACATGAACGGGTCAGGGGTTCGAGTAGCTGCGAGAATCGTTGAGCTCCCATGGCTTTGCACAAAATCGGTAGGATCGCTAAGGCCTCGTGCACTAGTTTGTTTTCAAATTTAAACATATCGCACCAATATTCCGGATCGTTGGGCTTTAATTCCGACACCTCGTCGTTGCAACTCCACACTACGTCCTTCAGACAGTTCAACCTGCGCCGCATTATACTCTTGAGAAACCTGAAGATCTTTGGTCCCTGCGAGACCTTCTCCAGTGCCCGATCGTTCAGTTCGGTGAGTAGGATGCGAATGGATACAATGTGGGTATAAACGATCTTTGTTTCAAAAGTCTTGACCATCTGTGGTATAGCTTTTCCGATAATCTTGGTGGAAAGACGAGTGGCCTCGGCGTAGTTTCCTTTCTTCCAGAAAATCACCACAAACTGGGTTAGAGTCTCGAAGGCCACCATGCTCACGTTCTCCTCATTCAGCTCCAGGCACTCTTCCAACCGGCCAACAGCCTCCTTTTTGAAGGGCTCCAAGCTATCGGGCACATGAATGGCTAGACTTTTGAGGCATAGAATGGCCTCCTCTCGGGCATCGCGTACATCCGAATCGGAGCTATTGGAGGTGAGGGATGATAATGAACTATCATCATCGTCGTCGTCGTCGTCGGAATCATCTTCGCTTTCATCCGTTTCATCAACGTAGTCGTCTTCATATCCGCGCACACGAACATCCTGCATCCTGACGGCCTGTTCCTCCAACTTATCCTTCTCTAGATCGATTTCGAAAGAAGACAATGTCTTGAAAACCGCCTCCACAATTAGCTTCACATGGCCGCTGCACTCGTTCGGCATGACGGCACACAGTTCAGTCATCAGCGAGAATGTATAGGATTCGGGCAAGTCACTCTCTTCCAGGAAACTCACATCCATGGTCAGTAACATGGGCGCCAGATTGGTGAACTTTTCTTTGCTAACACGAGCCAAGACGGCAAACACCTGAGATGGGCGATCGGACTAGGGAGTAAGGATTCGGAATCCTTTAACAAATACATACCCTTATGGCCTGTCCCCGAACTTGTAATCCATCCTTTCCAGTCAATTGAAGACACGGCTGGGTGGCATCCACCACAGCATCGAATTGGGACTCCATACCCGCACCCACTACATCGCACAATCCGGCAATACTGCTGAGCGCCATTTTGCGCACATTTTTCCAATCATCCTCCAGATGGAAGAGTTGCAACAGACGGGACATCAGATCGGGAGCATAACGCTCTAGGACGGACGGACGAAGATGGTGGAGGAGCAGCTCCAGGGAATAGAATAGCCGTGTGTCCACGTGCGAGCCACTGAAAGGGACTCGACAGGAGTCAAAATCTTGTTCAAAATACGTGTAAAACACGGGCATTATTCGGTCGGCTAGTTGGGCTATCCCTGGGAGCTGCCCCTCCAACATCTTTGATAGAGAAAAGTACGCAGCCTTGCTCACCAAGGGCTCTTCGTCATTGCATCCGTTCTTGACCAGATCAAATATCCCCTTCATCTGTTTCAGTCGCATTGCGGTGGCGAATCCTTCGCACATCACGCCGAAAAAGACATAGACCGCCATGCGATGTAGGGGCTTGGGTTTGGTATCCAAATAAGTTGTGAAGAGGCGCAGGCACCGGGTGACCAGCTTACCGCTTTTCGACTTCTTGACCAACTTCTTCAGGGTGGCCACTCCAGTAACTAGTGTGGACGGTCTGCGGCGACACAATCCGAGGTAGTCTTCATCGCCATCCGAGTCGAAAATCGGCTCGACGGCCAGTACGCGATGCAAAGTCATAAGGAAGTTATCCATCAGCTTTAGTTTTGAAATCTCGGAGAGCTTCTCCAGCACCAATTCACGCAGCATCTTCAACGCTTCAACCCGCATGGGCATGGGCAGATTAATGTCTGTGGCTAGGGCCATCATGGTGTCGCTAATCATGCCGGAATGCTTCCAGAAAAACGCTGGTTTGTAGTAATGAAGGCTGCCGATCAGTAGAAAGCCCCGGACGCACTTGACCTTGTTGGGATGGTTCGGGCATAGCCTGCAGAACCGCATCAACAGCGGCATGGATGAGCTGAACTTGTCGCCTATTTGAAAATGGCTGTGTCCCGCAATCAGAGCTTGAAGCCAACCGACGCTCAGGCAATCGGTGATCGGGCTCACCAGATTACCCGTGTCATGGGCCAATTGCAGGCCGTCCAAGAAGATGCGCTGGGCACGCTCCATCTGATTCACGAACACCTCAGACGAGGCATCCGGCAGGCTGCTGAAGATTATCGATCCCAGGTGGCGACGTTCCACATCCTCCGACAGGCATGTAGCTTCGATATAATCAAAGACGGCCTCGGTCCACGATCCTCGCTCCTGGGCCATGGCCAGACCCAAGTTGCGCACAACCGAGCCCTGCAGCTGCTTGTCCCCATCGTACTCCAGCGACTTGAGACTCTCGAACAGATCTGTCATAATGGTGGCAGACTGCTGCTCGGTCAGCTGTTGCCATACCTCAGCCTTGGCCAGACGCAAGGCCAGGATAGTGGCCGCGTTCTGGCGCATCTTGACGACATCGTTGGATCGCATCACCGTACAGATGAAGACTGTGCTCGTAGCATCATTGCACTTCTTTTGTAGCTCCTCGGTGGCCCGGCTGACGATCTCCTCCTGGGCGGACCCCATATTCTCCAGCAGCTGCATAATCTGTCTCTTTCGGTTACGCATTATACTATCTTAGTGTATAACAGATCCCACACGAATCCCACTCGTTCACAAGATATAGTCACACCTCCGAAAAACAGGATTATCGCAAGAATATTGAATCACCCGATTGCGTTGTTGCGTTTTTCTTTTCGAAATTGAGTTCAACTAGTTTTTTGAACAAAACCGAATAAACACAATTGTAAAATTACAAAATTATCGAAATATATTTTTAATTTTACGGAGCTCGCTAGACTTATCTGTACGAGAACTGAGTGAGGAGTGAGGAAATTCGGGGCTAGCCCTAGGGCCTTTGAATTTTTCATTTGACAGCTGATGGGCACAGCCTACTTTTAGTGGAAATTGGGGTTTCAAATAATATTATTTTCCGGTTTTTTAGTTGAAAATGAGAAAATAATTAAAAATTCAAATTTTTATTTGAAAATGGGAAAATATTTTTCAATTGGAATAATTATTTAAATTATTTAATTTGGTTTGAGGTTAGAGAAACCATATGTTTTAAAACTATTATAAAAATTAAATGATACTAAGTATTATATTATGCCTTTGTGATAAAGTTAATACTTATAATTCCAATTCGTATTTTAAATAATCTTTTTAGCTTCTTTAGTAGTGTTTTTAGAGCCTCAATAGATAATTTTTTTAACTACAAGACTGTTTGAACCACTGTGTCTACCCGATAATTGTGGATTAGAAAGATATAGATGAAAGATATAGGAATGATGAGAGAACGAGACAAGTACTTGGTACTTATTATGGTCGAAAATATCCACTATAGACTTCCATTCTTAATATTATTTATAAACGGTTTTATTTTATTTCATTTATGGTCAAAGATTTAATAAAGATTTAAGATTTAAGATTTAAGCTTTTAAGAAAGGAATGATTATTTTATGAACGCAGCTATTTCGGCATACGTACAGACCACCTCCTACCCGACCGATCCAAGGGCTCTGCCGCATATTGTACAGCTCGATTACGAGTATTACCCAATCAGGGCATTGGAGTTAAGAATGGATAATTTTATATCAGCAGAAGAGGAAAACGCTTTCGTACACATAGTCTAATAACAGAGAAAGACCATGTCTACGATTTATAATCCCATTTTTAAAAGAAACCTCTAATTTAACGTCAAGAACATATTTATATTCATTTCCAAATCGATGTTAATACATATATATATATAAGTGTATGATTGGTACAGAGGAATAATGTTACAAAGTTGACTTCTTAAAGACTTCTTATTTTTTTCATGAACGTGAATGGAAGAAGATCGATTTTTGTATATAAAGAGTAAATATATATTATTTTAAAATTCATAAAATAATATACCATTTTATACTATTATTAGCCATACTATAGCTACTTATAATTTGCCAAATGGTATGAAAATCTTCAATATCCTCCATTCTTAATATTATTTGATGTTTTTGGTGTTTAAATTGGTGTTTAAACTTTAAATTTAAGCATTTTTTAGTGTTTTTTTAAGTTTCCTATTTGGATTCTTGATCATTTGGAATGGTAATGGGATCGGAAGAGCGGATCTCATCGCTATCCTCCACGGTCTTGATCATCAATGGGGGACGGTAGGTAAGACCCACCGGTGGATTCATTGGTGGGGGTGGTGGTGGCGGTATCGGAATGTAATGCTCCGGCATCTGTACTGTCCAGGGATAGACGCCGCCGTGACGCTCCAGAATACCGCCACGTTGCGGCGGTCGCATCGCATGAGTGAAGCTCTGACGGACGAGGGCCGGGGCCTTGGCCTCCGACTGCATGGCGTTGTAGAGCTCGATCTTCTTGCGGGCCACCGTGCCGGTGGTGGGCGGATCGATGGCCTGATTGACGCAATTGTCGCGCCACAATTCAAACTCCTCCTCGGTGAAGGACATATTCGATATATCGGTGATCTCGTGATAGGCTATCAGATCCTCGTAGCGCAAACGAAGGACCTTATTGGTGGGTATCTCACCCACCTTGTAGCCAAAGTCCATTTCCGTCAGTCCGAGGACCTCACCGATTCGATACTCCGGCTTCTCCTCCTCCGAGTTCACCTTGACCCGGACAAAGCATCCGGTCACGGCCTGTTCGAAGGCCGGACGGACCAGCAGCTGGCTAATGCGATGGCGTGTCAGTCGCAGTGCCTCCAGCTGCTCGAGGCTCACCAGTGGAATGTCTGGCGGTGGCGGCTTCTCCTGCACACCAGTCCACAGCTCGTTCTCGTCCTCGATCCTCAGAGGCGAGGCCTTCAAGCGGCGCAGTTCGCGGACTATCTCAGCCTGCGGACGACGACCGTATCCTGCAGACTTCGCAGATACCTCTCCTTCGCCAGAACCAGAGGCCTTGTGATCCTTTGGATTCTGTGACATTTTTTTTTTGGAATTCTCGCCTCTTGGTTGAAATAAATTGTAGTTTATTTTTCGACTTTTTTTCCTCAAAATATACACCAACCGATTGAGATCCAGTCACTGAATGAGGTGGGAGTTCTACTTGAAAGTCCAAACACTTTACAGATTTGGCAAAGCCTACTTGGGACTAGGGACTAGGGACTAGCCTACTAGGATTAAAATTATTTCTCCATGAAATTCACTTATTAAGCAAACCAGCAAGGTCACACAGTCTTATCCCCGAAAATAGCCTTCGCTGGGCACGTATGGGTCTCCACGGGATTTTTAAAGGGGACCCCCTAAAAAATCTGATAAAAAATATAAAAAATATTTCCATCCCAGATTTTGATGCAGAATGATAGCTAATCGTTCCACAAATCGTTTAAGACACCCCGCTTGGGAATCGGATGAATAATGCCAGAGATATAGCCTTCGCGGCGGGCATATGGGTAGTCCCGGGGTTTTTGAAGTTGACCTACAAAATCTGATAAAAAATCTAAAAAATATTTCCTTCCCAGATTTTGATGCAGAATGGTAGCTAATCGTTTCACAAATCGTTTAAGATATCCCGCTTGGAAATCGGATGGATATCGACAGAGTTATAGCCTTCGCGGCGAGCATATGGGTATTCCCGGGGTTTTTGAAGGGGACCCCCTACAAAATCTGATAAAAAATCTAAAAAATATTTCCATCCCAGATTTTAATGCAGAATGATAGCTAATCGTTTCACAAATCGTTTAAGATATCCCGCCTGGGAATCGGATGGATATTGGCGAAGATAATTCATAATCCGAAGGTTTTTTAATGAAAACAAATTTTAAAATATTATTTCGAATTTTTTTTAAATAGCTCCATAATTTTAAGTACCAAGGTCGCACTAACTAAAGAAATTGTGGTGGCAAAACCAGAAGGTTTTGGTTTATAAATTATAAAAATTGATTCCAAAAATCCCTTGGATTCAAAATAAATACTTTCAATACTCGTTTTTCTCAGTGACACACCGTGAATTAATTTGGCATTTCAATTGCCTTTGAATGGGAGCCAAAAATGTGCGAGGAATTTACGAGAAAACCACATATAGTTTTAAGGAAAGGATGCCAAAGGGGTAGCATAAGATATTTATGACTTTTTAAAAGCAAATTAAATCCAAAGCAATTATTTTAAAGAGCTACAAGGATTTAAGAAGGGCGCAATTCTTCAATAGAAATACAATTTTAATAAAATACACTTTTTAACACTTTTATTTTACAATAGTAATAGTATAGTAACCCCCTCTTTATTTCAAGGGTATCCTTCGAGTTCTATAGAATATCCCTGCGGTTCATCCATTTGAATGCATTTAACGAGCCACCTTCGGTTTTATGTCCTCCATAAATGCCAGGGGCCAAAAAACTATTAAATTTATATTAATTTCGCAATTTTTCCTTGGCTAGCATTTCACTTGGCAGATGCGGCGGAAACAGAATCCCTGAATCGACCACCCCCCCCTCCAATGGAGAGAAATGGAGAGAGGAGCCGAGATCTTTTCCCATTTGGCAAAAGATTTATTATACAATTGCTTTAATTACAGTTGCAGCTAATTGTATGCGGACCGCCCGGGCAGATGCTACTTTTGATGCTGGCACTGAGCCAGTCAAGGGGGGAGTGGGAGCTAGTAGCCTTTGTCAGGAGGTAAGGCCAGGATAGAGGGCGTCTGTGTGTGGTGCACAAAAGTGGGTAATGCAAAATCTTTGCATGCTTTGTACATGTGAGTGTGCATAAATAAGTTTCACGTGGGGAGTGAGTGTGTGTGTGTGTGTGTGTCGCATATACACATACATATATCGAATATGCTGCTCACGCACAAAATGCTCCTTGATAGGACGACCATCACCCCCTGAACTCCCACTCCCACCCACTACTTTTCCATCTTCTTCAACATGCGCACACACTTAAGGGCAAAACTCGTTTATGCAAGCTCAGTCATCATCATCTTCATCTTCATCGGCATCCACATCCACATCCCACATCAGAAGCATCGCAATCCAGGCCATAGAATCCCCAGCTCAGTCCTCAGGACAGTTCCCTCCTCCTCCAGTAATGCCACCTCATCGTCGATGAGCTGACCACCAGAAATTCTCTTTTCGATTTCTTCGATGGAAGTGAGAAAATTGGGAAAGAGAAAAATAGATGCAGGCATCTATTGTTTTCGTAGATAAAAGTTAAGAGAAGTAAAATCACAAAAAACCTCAAACCACAAAGGTTTTCTCGATTTATTTCAATTAAAAATCAATAAGATTATGATTTTTAGCCATATAGCAAGGGCACACTGTCATTTTTTGATGAAATAAGGCCACACTAAAGCAGAGTGTGACCCTGCCTGGTGCCTAAAACATAGAATAAACCAACTCTTGTACGTTTATCTATATTTTCTTTTAAAAATAAACTAACCCTAAAGCAGACTTACTTTAAACTAATTTCTAGAGCAAAGTATTATTATAAATAGCACTTTCCTCAACAAATTAAATTTAAATACCAATGTTAAAATAAGAAAAAATCCTGCAAAATGCCAACTGCCAGGAGACCCATCCATCACAGGATCACATTGCACACACAAAAGTAGCATCAGCTGTGAAACAATATGAGATTGTTCTCCGTCCCTAAAAAAACTGGACAACTTTTCCCCAGAAAACACCTTTTCAGCCCAAGGCGGTGTACAGTCAACGCCATAAAAGGATGCTCACTGGACGATGCTGGACGAATGGAATGGCACGTCTTGACGTTGACAGGCACTGCAAAAAGTTGCCTTCCACGGCCAGGAGATGTGGAGGTGTAGCTGGGAGGTGTAACCCTCATCCAGTTGGCTGACATGCCAAAAAGCCCACCAACTCTTTAGGGCGCTTTTTGTTTTTTATATAAATTTTAGAAAAACGTTGCCGTATTTTTAAATAAGAATTTAATTTAGTTTAAACCGAGTAGCTTTGTTTTTGGTTGTCGGCTTTAGTTCGAAAAAATAAAACACCCTGATTCTATAATTAAAACCAAAGACAAAAGGTGTTTCAGAAAGAATCCATTTCTTATATGGAATGCATTTATTTAATGGAAATAGATTATTGTATTCAACTTAAAAAGATGATGAAGAGGTTAAATGTTACCAAGAACACCATGAAGATTCTGGCATATCGCATGTCAAAGCTTTCGGGAAAAGAACAATCATTTGATGAGAAGGAAACCCCGGACGAGGATCAAAACATTGGAGAACCCTTCATAAAACGTAGGCGTATGTCTTGACCTCCGAACTTTCGATATAGGATTTTATTATTGTATTCTCGTCAAGTTCTCGTCCCTCTTGTTGCTTTTGTAACAATCAAGTCTTGGTAAGTGTCTTGGTGGTTAGTTCTTCGGTGCTTTCTTTATTTTCTACTTTTTACTTTCTCCCTGTCTCTAGCTTTCACCAGACTGAGCCAATTTTCAGTTGTCTGCTTCGCAAAAAAAAAAAAAAAAAAAAAATCAAAAGTCCTTAGCTCACTTCTCCCGTCTCTTTCTGTTTTCCACTCATGCTTACTCTCTTGTGTCTCTGTCTGTGACATGAGCTCTTTTCCTATTTTGAGTTGAATTTTGTACTACATTTTTTTTTTTTTTAATTTTTTTTGCTTGTATTTTTTACCAGCAGAATTTTTTTTTATTTTTTTGCTCGTGCAGTTACAGCTTTTTTGCATTTTACCTCCAGGAATTTTGCGTTCCGTATGCATATGCAAATGCCACGGCCTACATGTGTCGGTGTCTGTTAGGCCCAGTGCCCCGCCCTCCGCTCCCTCCTCTTTCCGACAGCTACTGGGAAAATACGCCCCTGTTTAGTCCCCCACGCCCCCTCCCTTTTTTTTTTCGCCAAGCATATGCGAAACTTTTTCCAGCGTGTTGCACACACAACGGAAAAAAAATACTAGTGTTTCCTTTATTATAAGAAATATTATACCGCCTTGGCCACACTAATCTGTCAGTGTGGACTTGCTGTTAAAGCAAAAGTAAAAAAATTCGCATAGAATTCGTATTCTTTTATAATATTAACTATAATATCTATCAAATCAAAATAAATTCCTGCTTCTATAGCATTTTTTTTTTCAAGTACATCTCTAACTCCTAGTTACTCCCCCATCCACCTTGCCACCTTGCCACCTTGCTCATCCCCTCTCCATTGGGGGGACCACCCTGCCCTAGTGCTAAATTACAATAATGAAAATGTATTTGCAAAACTCGCCTAATTAGTTGAATATGAGCCATGTTGGGTATTCAAATATGCAAAGGCAAGCTGTCTGAAACACAGAGACGCTTCTAGTTGCCTGAAAAAAAAAACAAAAAGAAAGAGACGGCAGCCTGTTGAGTGATAGAGACGGGACGATTGTGCGACGGCACAGATAGCAAACAGAGACGACTACTCTCTGGGATCTGGATTCTGAAATCTAGGGGGAACACAAAAAAAGTTACTCAATTGCACTGGCTTTGTTTGAGAGGCAACATGGAAGCATTTATTGCAGAGCCACTGTACTGCAGTTGTAGCATTTTTTTTCTTACCTACTTGTCTATAATATAGAGGCTTATTTTATTTTTTTTTAATCATTTTTATTAATTTTTTCCATTTCTTGTGGAATACTTTCTGCTTTTCAGCTTCAAAAATAATTCTCCTTCTTAAGCTTAGGCTTTAAATAATCTTTAAAATTATTTTAAATTATAAAACAAAAAAAAAAAACAGGATCAAATTTTGATAAATTGAAAAGAAAAAAGAAGAAGAAGAAAACCTTTTAAGATATTAATCTTTGAACCCCCCACTGCCTAAAAGAATATTTTCGGGTGTGAGTTGTGGAATTTCGGGGCAAGTGTTAAAGTTGTCGAGAGCGTTTCACGCACCTGTTACCAGTTAGCTTTTACCTGTGCCTGCCACGCCCCCTCGGCCCTAGCCTTTCGCCTTTGACTTAAAAACCAAGAAGTAAAAAGCACAAAATTATGATTTTCTTTTTTTTTTTTTTTTTTGCTTTTGTTTGAAGGGCGAAATACCTTTAGGTTCAGTTTTATGTTGGCAGCAGGTGAGAGCATAAATTTGTAGCCGAAAGCCCGAAAAAA